AACTAGTGCTCAATTTGTGTCTTGTCTAGGCTTCCCAGTTTGGTTTGTGACATAGACTGGTTCATTCATGGACGCAAGCTCGACCAGCCTCCTTGAAACAAATTGCGAGCTTCTTGGGGTATTGCAAGCTCATCGCAGGCTTACGCCAGATTCCATGGTCGAAGCAGTGAAGGCGAGCAATGCCCGCTTGGGCAGAGCAGTTGACATTGCTCAGATGCACGCTCCCCGGAGTTTGACGTTGTTGTGCACGTAAGTGTTGCCACAGGACTCGGGAGTCCTAAACTCCTCTCTCTGCTCGGGAGTGGGTCTCTGAGGCACTGGAGTCCGCGCAGCTACGGCTTCGGATTTCAGGAGGATGCCCTATTGGAAGGCCTTTGCCGATGCATCTCTGACAGCAGTTGGCGTGAACGGTTCGTCGCCTGCTCGCGTCATGCAAACTGCTGGGTGAGCCTGTCTGTCCAAGGCTATGAAGCCGGGCTCTGCAGTGCCGTTGGGCTGTCGAACTTTGGACCCAAAGGCAGAATGAACAATCCCAAACAGAAACGGCGAGGGGTCGAGGAGTTCAATCACAACAGGCCTCCGTCGTGCAGCCGCCATCTTTGACACGCGCGGCGTGCCATTGGCCCCATGGCATGGGATATTTCGGATTCAGTTTATGTAGGGCTGAGGGTTAGAGACGAGAAAGACTTGGGCCTCTTTAACGCCCGAAACCGAGGTCCTCAATCAAGTGCAGTATTCTCTCCTGTCGCTCGACGCACGAAGAGGATATGAAGAGAGCTCGGAAAGCCGCAGGGTCGGTGACTCGAACAGAGGTCAGCAGAGCGCGAGTCTGGAGTGGCCGAAGCAATTTGGCGTGGTTCAAAGGACGTGTGTTGTCTGCGCCGATATATATATATATATATATATACATACATATTATACTAGTATTAATATGCGAATAGTATACTTACAAATTGTTAATAATATTATATATGGTGTATAACACTGCCATGCCGTAGCTCCGCGGATCGATCTAAGCTTCCGGCAAGGCGATGCGTCGTGAATCACAAAGCTTTTTAACTCCAAAAATGCTCCAAAACCCCAAGGTTTGCAAGGAGCTGGGTATCCGATTGGTGGCATACAGCCCGCTATGCCTGGGAGTGCTCGCTGGAAAGTATAAGACCGGCCCTTCGGTGGCAGAAGACTGACCACTGCGTTGACGGCCATATCTCAACTGCATACGTTCCCATGGCATGCTGCTGCCTGCAATATAGTCACATATCACCAAATATCTATCTAACCACATTTACAAGTTACCACATACATAGCATATCGGGAGAGATATAGACAGATAGATAGATGGACACATTGGTCACTGCCGGCAGTATCCTGCACCCATCCTGCACCCAGGTCCAGATGCCCAGCTGCCAGACAATTTTCTTCGCTCATTACTTTTCTCTTCACTCCTTGGAGATGCAGGCAGGATCTGTCAACACTTGTGAAGTTCGGTGTTGCGGTGTTGCTCGGGCTTGTCAACATACACCAAGCACATCCAAGAGCTAAGCGTTGTTTTTGGCACGTCGGTGGCTGCAGGCACAACAAAGCTCTTGGGCCTGTTGGGAGAAATAGCGGACACCCGGGGGAAGAGCATGGCTCAGGCTGCGTGGCAAATCCTTAAAAAGATTCCGGATCTTTTCATCCCACGATTGCTGTGAATACTCTCCTCCGTGTGCAGTTCAGCCTATATAGGGTCTTCGTTGCAGGGGCGACGTAGCTGGTCTTGCCATTGTGAGGCAATCGTCCTCACGAGTTCACGCTTTCTTGAACCGAGGTGGCTTTAAACTTTGCCATGACAGAAGGAGGCGGTTGTGCGATCGTCGGAGCACGCAACCGACAGCAAGCCCTCGAGAGCTTTGACTTCAGATAGTCTTCTTCTTTCGCGGTGACCCTTTTTTTGCCAGCTGGAGTCTCTTGAGTTACGGTAAGGACCTTAGGATGGCGTAGGTGGTCCGGTGTTTGTCAAAGCCTCGATACTGAGGAACCTGGGAGCCTGTGGTTGGGAGACCCGGACTTTCCCAAGCCATACCTTTTCGTAATCTGTTGCGGTGCTACCGCTTATATGGTTTAGGGGTCAGGGTTTCGGGTTGAGGGTGCTACGGGTCGGCCTCGGTCAAGATGATTGCGGGTCGTAGACTCGCTAGACTAGAGTCCAGCAGCAAAAGGGTGCTACCGCTTGTAGCATTAGGATTTGTCAGTGGTGTTTGTGCGTGGTTCTCGCTGTACTCTCAGCTGCAGCTACTCTTGGGCTCCACGATCTCATTGTTACTGTTCTCACGTGCACAGCCCCCATTGCTACATCGTGGCGCTACCCATAGTCTCCAATTGCAGTTTCTATTTTTTAGGCGCCTTGCTTTCATATTCAAGGATCCTAGTCCTAGCCATATCTAACCACAAACCTGGTTAACCAAGACAGCAACGGAGACTATGAGTATATCATATGTCATGTATTCCGTCGCTGGCCGGCTGTCTCGTCTCAATATGTGAACACTGTGTAGAAAGGCGTTTCTGCCGCCACGCCTCAGGAGCTTTCAGATGCCGAGGTCGAGTCGCAGCTTGCCTAGTGGGCATGCAGAAGAGAGCATGCAGCGCTTTGGATATGCCTCGTTAAGTTTGATGCAGCCGTCCTGTCCAAGGCTTTCGCAAGCTGCCCTTCAAGCGCCGAAAACGCAGAAGAACGCTTTCTTTTCGGACTAGCCGACTCTCCTAGCTCGGGAAAAGACCGCGTTGCCTGCCTCTGGTCAGAGAGCAGCGAGTTTGTGAGATGCTGTGGCATGTGAGGTCAGGAGGAGGTTGCGACTTGGTCCGGGCGCGCTGCCCTGCGTGCAGCCACCTGGGCCGGAGCAGCTGACGAAGAGCTGCTCTCGGACTTGTCTTCCAAGGCTGCTGGCCAGGTGGGGGCAACGCCTTAGGAGACGATGACGTATACTAGTAGCACCCACTGACAGGCGGCCGCCAACTTCATTGTGGACGAGGGGAGGAGTCCACATCCGAACGTGGCGCACTCGTTCGAGGATTACGGTGACGCTTGCATGTTCAGGACGCCGGGCGTGGCGCCAAGCGCAGCTGGCCAAGCAGCCTGCAAGGCTTGCGAAGCATCAGGCGATGACCTGGTCCTGCTTCCAGTGCTTTGCTGTTGTTACTATAAATAGTATAGTCTACTGTTACTAAAAATAGTAGTAGTTTATCAACCGCGGCCTGGAATTAACGGAACTGGGCAGTGAGCGTTCTTGCCTTTCTGCTAGGAGAATGCAGTTAAATGCACAAGGTGTCACGGGAGACAGTTGAACAATTCGGACACTTAAACCCTATCCCTCCAAGGACCTCATAGTTAGGGCCCTCGACCCCTTAAGGACCCCAGAATAAGGTCCCCGGAGGCATAGGGTAAAGAATAACGAGCTATTTGCAAATTGTGTTCGATGCAGAGAGAAAAGGAAAGAGTATAAGCGTAGATGCAAGGTGCAGGATGATAAGCCTTGCTGTGTTTACCCGTTTCTGGTCAACGATATATTCTTGAGAGATCTTTTGCTGGTTTGAACCTTTGAAACCAAACCCAGTACAGTGTTGTAGCATTGTAGCTCAGACGACAGCCAGCTTGTCTAAGATTTGTGTTTCAACTGAACCTGTTCAAGATGGAGGGTTCCTGAATGGGTTCCAATGAATCTGCCGGAGCGTTCTACTGACCGGGTTCTTGTTGAGGGATTTCAAGTTACCATAGAAGGGATCCATAGTCACTAAATAATAGGGTTTCCTTATCATGGTAAGTACCATAAATTGAATAAATGACCAAGAGCCCAGTCTTTTGAGGACTCTGGAAGGCGAGCCTCAAAGTGCAGCTCTCCGGGCGTGCTGCGGGGGCCGCCGCACAGCAAATTGGCTTATCGCCGGAGAAGGTGGCATGGTGCTGACTGGTGCTGTAGCTGCTGGAGAGCTTGCCCATGGATAATTGCATCTTGTAGAGCAAAGCTGGGTGAGAGCTGAGGTGGCCGTGGAAGCTGGGCGAGCAGCTGCCATCGTTGCAACCGAGTGGCTCGGCTTTCGCGCTCACTTTGGGTGAGCTGGCCCTCTTCTCTGACAGTTCGTTAGTGGCTTCATGTTGAGATTAATTCACACCCAGTGCAGATTGAAGGTGCCGCGTAAGAGCCGAGCTTCTTGCCAAAATGGTCGGCGCAGCAGCTGGTGCCGCAGGGCTGGCCGTGTTTGGGACTGCAAGCAGATCTTATTGCAAGCAGATTTTACAAGCCGTGCCCGACTTTTTGAGACTGGTCTGCTCAGGCCGGCATGACCTTGGAGCACGCAGCAGAGGCGGCCAAGCTAGCTGCCGAGACCGAAGGCTACGATGCGGGACTGACGCCGGAAGCTTGGCGCGCAAGCGTCCTTACGCTGCCTGGTTGTTGAGTGTAGCCTGCTAGCAGCGCGAGGCCGTGTAGTAATAGGTTCGTGAAGACCACAGATGTCATGTGTGCTCATAGGTATGGTATCATGTGGACCGAATCCTGCTCCGCCTACTGTACATACAGATACAGCATCCTGTTCCGAGGATGTTGCAGCTAGAGCAGGCCGCTTGGCCTACGACAAGGTGTTGGGCAGCGTCCCCAGCTAGCAGTCTGCGGCACTGCGCTCGGAGCTTTGCATCTCTTAGTAGAGAGGCATCATCCATCAAAGTGACTCCGAAGAGGACGGCTTATGTCGGTGCTGTTTCGCTGTTTTGCACGCTTGTATTTATAATGGTTGCGCTGACAGCTCCTGCCCACAGGGACACGAGAGCTGCCCTGTTGAAAAGCTGCAGGTCTGCTGCGATTGGTGCAAGGTTAGTCACGGTTAGTCATGCTCTCCGAATCGATTGCCCGATGCGAATCCTGACAACGCTGGCAGCTCCAAATTCAACATCAGCCTTGTCATGGTAGTGGGCGTCGAAACCGAACACCCCGAACACACCACTTGATGCTAGATCGCAGAATGCCATGGCAGCTTCGGGGAGCCTTTTTCCAGGAGGCATGCACGTACTCCGTGAATTGACATCCTGCAAGTGTGCGGATGACTTCCCTAACCCCCCTCCAAAAACTCGCAAGTCGATCCTGACAAGAAGCCGCGCGCAGTCCACAGACAGGCCGCGATGGTGGCTCCCCGAAGGCAAGACCGCGACCCAGAAAGAAGGTGCAGGCGGCCAATGTATCGCCAGCGGCACCATGGCACTGGATTCATGCATGCTGCATTGGCTTTGTCATGGGCAGAAGAAGGCGAGAAAGGCTGCATACCGAGGTTGACAGCATCCAGGGCTGGCAGATGCTCCCCGGCCGATTACGATGGTGCAGATGGCTGCGAAGCTGTTGTTGCGTGTCACTGATGCCGCCGTATGCCGTCGTGAGGCTTGAAGTGAATGCGACTTCTGAGCCGGCAAGCCTTCCCTTGCCAGACACTTCAAGCGATCTGCTGTCTGCAGCTTCGGACGCTTGCGGTCCTCGCGAGATCTGGAAGATCTTTGGAGATCTGGGTGGCCACCGTCAGGAGCCAGCGGATGTGCTTCTGCCGGCCCAGGGTATAACTTACCCAAAGGCTCAAAGCAAGGACGCGGTGATGTACCTTCCTCGGCTAGCAGCCGATCGGTTGCGGGAATCCAACTCGAAGCAGATATCTGAGCTTTGGCAGCTTCGGATGGCTTTCCACAGGACCATGTCCTGTGCCCACAAGCACGAGTGCTTAAAGGCCAGGCTGGCGGCTGCAAGGGCAGAAATGGCTGAGTCGTTCACGGTGCTGGAGAAGCGAACCTCGACCATAGAGGCCGTGAGCGAAAGCAACTCGAAGAAACTGCAGCGCCTGAAAGGGGTGGCTCGAGACCTCAAGCTCAAGTGCAAGCTGGCGTCCTCAAGAGTTCGTCACCTGCTCGCAGTGCTTGGCGCCACGGAACGCCACGGAAAAAAACTCAGAAGCGACCTGAGACCCGAGGTGTCCTCAGGGCCATGGCGGAGCAGATCTGCAACGAGACCTTGGCCAAAGAGAGAAGCAGTCTGATGGCTCTCACCTTCGAGCTTCACATGGAGCAGGCGGGTTCATGGGCGCTTGACCGTAGGATCTCCATGAGAGAGTTGTACCGAGGAGCACGCCAAGCACCCAGCGCCAGAAGTTCTGCGCCACGTCCAGGAGACCGGTCACACGCAGAGCTTGCAGTTTTGATACGTGGGCATAGGGAAAAAGCCGCCTGCCGGCGGCAATCTGAGGAGCAAGTCCTCAAAGCCATCGATGCAGAGACCTGCATCACTTGCCCGGCTTTCGAAGACTCCGAAGACGACACTGAGACAGGCCTGGATGGCCCTGCCCAGACTCCTCCTGTGGTTGGAAGCAACTTGGTGATTTACATGTACTTGCCGCCACTTCTTCGCTCGTCCATCCTGCCGGCGCCGTCAAAGCAAGCGCAGCGAGAGCTGAAGAGCGCCCGGGCATCTGGCCTGCTGGAAGGCATCGTGCAGGAGACTCTGAACAAGTTCGGCCTGAATGCCCGAGTGCAACGCATGAGGCCGCCCATACTGCTGGACGGAGGAGAGCTCCGAGCTCCCTCTGGTGCTGCCAGGATACAAGACTTGGGCCTTTTGATCGCTCCGAGCCCTGCAGGTAGAGCTTGGGTGGTGGAGGCAGTGGTGCAGGACAGTTGGGCAGATGCCTTTGGAGTGCGTCCAGCGGACCAGATCTTATGGATCAATGGCCGGCCGACGTCTGCTATGAGCTCGGCACAGGCTCTGCTGTGGAGCGAGCATCCTCTTTCTTTGATCCTTGACTTAGTTGGATGTGCATGCTTTCTGCACGTCTCAAGCATTGAGATGCCAGGTTCCTTGCTCGCAATGGAGGCGAAGCCTCCACCAGGATGGAAGAGTCTTGTGCGCTTCGGATCCAATCGAGCTGGCGTGCGCGCAAGCGGTCCAAAGTGTCGTCAAGATGGTCTCCAAGTCTAACAGACCTGCCTTTGCTCCTCGGCTCTTCCTATCGAACAGGAGTCGAGGCATCTGTGTCGTCATGAATTTCACCTTAGAATCTTAGAAGCTGTACTTCAGTCTTCTTCCCCCAAGGAGTGGCCACACAAGACTTTCGGCATGTGCCGGGCGACTGGTGTCTGCATTGGGCTTACACTTTCTGCCAGCCACCTTGCCGGGCCCGTTTCTCCAGATCGAAAGCTTCTCGGTGGCACCAAGTTGCCAGCGTCAGCATGTCGTACGTGCTTGTGGCTCTTGCGAGGACTGGACCCGGAATCTTGGGCGGAGCGGGTGGGAGTGGAGGTTGGAGACAAGCTGCGATGCATAGATCGCGAGTGGACCGAGCAGCTTTCAGACTCTTGCCGGAAATGGAAGCATATGCTCTGATCCTTGACGGAGTCTCCGGTCTCCTCGGTCCCTTGAGCTCTTGCCCAGGATCAACGCTTTGCGCAGTTGCTTCTGGAGCGGCCTATTCGGCTGATCTTTGATTCTGTAGAGCAGGTGGGCGAGACTCGCGACACCACGCAATTCACTGCAGTGGCTGGCATGAAGGACGGACATCTGGGTTTCCGACTTGCTTCTCTGCCCCCGGCTCCGTATCTGTTGGTTCAGCGGGTGGAGGAACATTCATGGGCTTTCGGTGCCGGAGTGCAAGAAGGTGACCACTTAATGGCCGTATACCGGAAGCGGGTGGCCGAAATTTCCGCTGATCAGTTGCTGGACATGTTCAAAGGCCCTCGACCGCTTCGCTTGACGTTCAGCCGCCTGAAACGTTTCACTGTCACCATCACGACGCGGGAAAACCAGATGGGCTTACAGACAAATGGCGTCCCTCCAGCAGCTTTCTTGGAAATACGGACAGTGGATCCAGGAAAATGGGGTGAGCAAGTGGGGGTAGTCGGTGGAGACGCCCTAGTATCGTTGAACGGCGTGTGTTTGGACAGTATGCCCAGGCGAGAGTTCATCCGACAAATGAAGGAAGAACGACCGCTGTCCCTGACAATCGATCGGAATCACGGGGAGAATTCAGTTGACCGCTTTGAGCGCTTCACGGTCACTGCGGGCCGGATACTCAATGATGCGGGCTCGGCTGGGGCCTTGGGCATTGCAGTTTTTGTGGCCACTTGCGCTAAGGTGAGGGAGATGCCCGCCTTGGCTTGAGACTGTCCGGTTTGCCACCTGCAGCTTGGTTATTTGTAGAGAAGGTTGCTGATGCAGGCCGGACGTCGCTTCCATGCATGCTGCCTCCTTCCATCAAGCTTCGCACCAGGCTGGGCACAAGCGATGCAAATCACGGTGGGGGACCGTCTTGTTGCAGTGGAGCACCTGAACCTTGGACTTGGTTGGCAAGTGTTCTGAGCGCCTTCTCCCTCCCGCCCTGTCGAGTCGTCGTCATCATGCGCATCATAACGTTGACTCCCCTTCTTAAGCCAGAAGCACCAACACAAATAGCACAACTATCTCACCCCCTCGGACAGAACCAGGACCACCGCAAGTCAGTGATTATTCAGCATACCTTGCAGCAAGGTGCCTTGACCTCATGCAGAAGGAACAGTTCCTGGAGCTTTTCCGAAATGCGCGACCGGTGCGGCTTACTTTTGCGCGGGCAAAAGATGGCAAAAGCGATGTCCAGCGTAGTCGATGCAGTCGTCACCAAAGTACGACATGCAATCGCATCGGGACATTGGCAAGCCAGGCAGATCTCAAGTCAGTACAAGCCACGGAAACATCAGAATCACAGTGCTTGGCCAATCAGCTCGTCCTCACGGGCAGTTGTGAAATGCGGCAGATTCCAAGCTGTGTTCACATACACACGGCATGAGATTTTGCAAATGCAGACACGCTTGAAACTGGACTGCACTGCAGGAACATGAGGAAGATGTTGTCGAGGAGGTCGGCCGGGTTGTTTCCCTTGGAAGGCTTGTTATGGTTTGGTCACGGCTGGCAGGAAGAAGAGGTGGTCGAAGAGGAGGAGGCCTCGTGGTGTTCCCGAAATTCATGACCAAGCGGCCGCACTGCTGTTGAGACCTTTGTGCAAAAACATGCTAGCAGCGACTTGCCTTTTTGACTCTTCATGGGCTTGATTTCTGGAGGTTGCGGTGGCGGCGGCCTCGGACATCCTTTCACCTGCACGAACTGATGCGAAGCGCAGGGTTTTGGCTCATTGTCAGGCGCATGGCTTCGAGTCCCTCCTCGACGCCGAGGACTCCTCGAGCCTCGGGGCAGAAGCATTCAACTCTCGGCTCCTGGACGCTCTAGCAGGACGCCTTCAATGAATGGATGCTTTCCGCCTGTGAAAAATACGGGAAGGCCGACGAAATGTCACGTTCACGTCAGGGCCCTTCCATCGCTCGTTCCTCGCAGGGCATCCATAAGAAAGTCCATGGCAAAGCCAAGACACTTGGCAGAGTCGTGAGCCCAGATGTCGCTGTGTGGCTTCTGTCCTTCTTCGCTTGCTGCTTTCGTTTGGCCGAGATTGGCTCTGAGGCGTATGCTTTGGTGTGGCAGGCTTACAGGAAAAAGCTGGAGAAGGACGAGTCCTGCTTAGCTACTGTCAGATGCTATCAGGGCACCTTCCGTTCAGCGTAAGGACGAGAGTCGCACGGACGACATTGACAAGGCAGGGTAAGACAACGGAGATGAGTGGGATTTTAGAGCAGGTCTTACCACATCGGAGAGCACAATCGGATGTAGTTGTCAGGACGACCATGTGCTGTGTGCGGCTTATGTGTCCGCGTGTAGAGGGATGGAAAGGGCCCTAGTGCCCCACCGAGGATGGTATTCCATGCCAAGCTCTACCGAGATATCGGCTCTTTCATAACAGCTGCATGCTCAGCCGCATTAACTTCAGGCTATGCGAAGTGGGATTCTGTTGTACATCTGAGGCGGACCACATTCCTGGTGGAGCAGAGCAGTTCGGCTGGCCGCCTGCATCTCAAAACTGCGAGGTGGGAAAGCGATTATGACACAGCTCGAAGCAGCCTAGTCAGGCCACAGGCAACCAACATCCACACCGGCACGATGGCTGTGCAAGCTGCAGTGACCCAGGCTGCAAAGGCCAGCGCTTGCACTGCGTGCGCACGTTCAGACTCGATACATGCCTGGGAAGACTGTCCGCAGTCGATGACGGACGATCACCTGGAGCAGCTGTTCAGCGGACCGCCGCCAGTACTCAATGCGATGCTGCGCGGAATGCAATTCTCGTGACTGGTGTGGGTTTGCAAGATCTCTTGGATGAGGTGCACGGTCTTTCCCGTGACGACCACAGCATGTATGACGTAAGCGCCTTCTTTATTGGCATTTCCTTTCTCACATAGCTCGGGGTTGGAGGGGCACGCATAGCTACAGAGCCCTGCTTAAGCCAAAATGCGAATCAACCATGGCAGTGGCTTTCGAGGTTAGCGAAGCTGGCAGGGGAAACGGATCTGAAGGTGCTGCTCCGTCCTTAGCACCAGAGACCCCACACATGCCTCAAGACGAGAGCCAGAACGCCCAGGCACGGCCCTGGCAATGCCGCAGCGCCCTCGAAAGAAAGACCCGGTGAGCTTCGAGGATCGCATGCGCTCTGAGGACTCCTTGCGTTGGCCGCCCCACAAGGACAGAAGTTGACATGTGCGAAGTGCCTTGAGGTGGACACAGCTCTGTTAACAACAACAGGAGAGAAGGCATCGCTCGCGTTCCTCTCGACGTCGACGCCCAAGCTTGGCTTAGTTCGTTTCCGCTCCTGTTGACTCCTGCGTTGGTGCTTCTTTCTCGAGGCTCTGATGACGAGCAAGCATCCGAGGACGAAGTTGCCAGAAGGACCTAGGACCTAGGCAAATTCAGGCAATGGCTTTGTGACTTCGTCGTTGTTTGTATTCTGCGACCAAAACGGTTGCGGATGTCGTGGCATGAGCGCATCAAAGGTTTTATCGCTCAGACCATGCAAAATGCAAAAAGTCACCTGCACGCAGTCGTTGCTCGGGCTGCCTCTGTTGCCGAATCTTTCGAAATATTCGTTCGCATCCAAGGCATCGTCCATAGCAGTCATTCTGAAAGGTTGCTTGCGCGGTGGTGCTGGCAGCTGTTTTCGTGCCGATGCTGGCCGCGTGAGGGACGAAGACCAGAGCAGCCGCAGACCGCAGAGATGATATCCGTTGAAGCTGCATGTACTTCTAAGGCCTATCTTCGGGGGCGCTGAGCTTGGACTCCGTGGTTTCAAATTCACTTCTACTTTGAAGCTCCCGTGGTCAGGGCCGCAGGGCAAAGCCTCCTCGTGGCTTCCACCCCTTCCGTGGAGGCCTCAGGCGCCGAAGCAATGAAAGAAAGCCCTCAGAAGCAGCACGGCTCAAAGGCAGAATCAGTCAGAAAACTAGAGTCAATGCGTGCGATTGCCATGGTGGTCCGAACAACAGAGGCTCTAAAGGATCACCGCCAAAACCACAAGAAGCAGCAAGAACAATTCCCATGTTCACAGCCATCCGATTCCTATTTCAAGGAAGGCCACGACTCCGTTGCCCGAATGCTCAGCCACCAGAGAAATGAGAACAACCGATGAAGAACTTTACCAAAATAAAAAAAATCCTGGGGAAAAACGAAGGAACCCCCACACCAAACCCTATACAAATCCCTCGGATCTCCTGCGTTCTTCTCACATGGGACGTCCGATCACATCTTGAACAAACCCTAAAGCCCTTACACTTGTTCTGCCGACCAAGAACCTCGTCTGGATCGTCCGAGTTGCGAGAGCGTAAAGCCCTTACACTTTAGAAGGCTTGACATGGCAGAGCCGGAGCTCCGCCCCAGCCTCGTTCTCCGGATTCCGCCGGGGACCTGGGCGGCAAGGAGAATCATGAACGAGATCAATGGGTGGACTTTCAATCTACAACGCAGCTAGAAAGTATGTAACCCCGTCCGATAATGAAGAGATGTCAGGTATCGGGACTGGGTCCTTTGGGAGTGTCCTCCCTTCGCGCCCGTGGCCTCAGCCTTTCTTCGCCCCTCTTTGGACGGCGCGCTGCCCCACAGACTGAAGGAATTAATTGAAGCTTTGGAATATGGATACTAGTACGAATACTGATACTTGTATTCATACGACTATCTGGTTTAATACTACAATACGCCGCATCTGTATTTACTGCAAAGCCCGCCCAGCCTTGAAACCCTGAACTGAAGGAGATTAAACGGAACTCGCTTTCGCCAAGGCTGGGTCTGCTTTGCGGCATCCTGATGAGTGTCGCCGGGTCGGGACCTGGGGCTCCAATTGTCAAACTGCAAAGAGCAGGCGTTTTTGAGCTTAGGATCACTACACGTACTTTTCTGTAACGGTTTACCTGTTGGGGGCACGGGGTATGTCATCAGACACCGCGATGCCCCGGTTTGCACAGGTCTGTCTATATATATATATATATAATTATATATAATTATATATATATATATATATATATAATTATATATATATATATACATGCATATATACATACACCATACACGCCTTCATGTAGAGTATTGTAGAGAGTTTCCTTTGGTAGTTTCTTTTGAAGCACGGGTTACTGGTACTGTAGCTTATTGTAAAGCCCTTGCTTGACTTCAGGGCAGCTCTGGCCACGTTCTTCTGCGGTGAGTTCTTCTCGGGTGGTGAGCGACCTGCAGATGACTCAGCAAAGGGAGCCTTAAGGGTCTGCCCAAAAAAGGGGGCGCCTTGAATTGAGGATCCTGTGGTGTTTGAATTTAACGGAGGCCCGAGGGTCTAGATGGTTTTAGGTTTTTGTTGAGTTGAGGGTTTGTAGAGTCGCGATTGTGGCGGGTTAAGGGTCCGTCGGGTTTGGGTTTGAGGATAGGTGTTAGCTTCTGGAGGCACTTCAGAGAGACCCGGTTCAAGAAGTATAGGTGTTAGGATGGATAGCCGACGGAGCATGAAGCACAGAACTGCAAAGACTTGCTGACTTGCCCAGCTTCCGGCAAATCAGGCAGATGGGAGCAACCTGTCAGTGATCTATCTGCATTGTTCAGACGTCCTTTCTGTCGTTGCATATCTCAGGCTGCTCGGCTGTTTGCCAACGTAGCCGCGTCGAGCGCCCTAGTCCTTCACGATTCTTTCCATGCAGCGGATCCGTATCTCTGCAAAGTACTGGTAGCATGTTGGGGAAGGTCTGTCCTCGCGTACACTGCCCGTTCCATCCTGAGCTTCTCCAGCGATGCAGTGTGCAGCGCGCCTGGAGTGGACCGTACCACGGCTGTAATCGAGGTGCCATAGATGCCGCAGTGGACTGTGCTGAGGGCAAATCAGCCATCAGCGGCACAAGGCCTCCGCTTCACTTCCAACTGTAACTTGCTTCTTTGCCTCCCGTGGTTTTCATATTATACTTTGATGTGTTTGGTATGTGGGCAAGCTTGCCAGTGACTTCCTGCGGTCCAAGTTCGTCAGCAGCTTTTGCGGCGCGCTGTCGGCGTTCTCGGGCACCATAGGCCTGGCAACAGATACCAATTGCGCTTGTAAAAGAATCGTACTAGTCACACAGGCAATTATCGCTGTAAGTTGTGTTGACATTTCAAGCCTTGACTCCTCTACTAAATCGTTACTTATCCAGTGGCCTTGCGCTGCCAGTAACCGTCTCTCAAAGACCACCCAGAGCGTCTTTTTGCCGAGCATCTCGTAGAGTCCTCACTTGCACACCAAGGTTCAGTATACCTCAGTCGGATGTGTCTCTTCAACCAACCAGCCATGAGAGCATAGGGCCGGCAAGATGCGAGAAGTGAGGAGAGCGTGAGAAGCCTCGCGCACAGCCTTCTGCTCTGTTGTCCAGGCGACATCGCTGATGTTCAGTTCGGGTCGGCCGCCGAAGACAGCATCCTCGACTCATCCACCCATGAGGCACAAGACCCATGGCATTCTTAGTTTGCCGTAGAGATGCCCCCGGATACGTGACACGAAGAAATTTCTAGTGTTGCCGATTACGGTTTGTGTTTCTGCCATCTTCTGCCCTTAGAGCATGCTAACTTTCGTGATTGGTGGCAACTGTACGTAAATTGCACTTTGGTTCTTATTTGTTTTCAATTAAACCTGCCTTCATTCTGCTCTTCAAGCCATAACCTGCTAATGAGATGATCATGAAAATGAGTGATCATTGATCTCTTGATATTATACCAGATGAGTGATCATGATCTTAGACAAGAGCTCTTTAGTTTTGTTTGAATTGCCCATATTGAACCGAATCATGAACACAAGAGGGATATTTGTAAGTTTTTGCTCCGTTTGGTAGTAGATGAGTGGTCATACCCTTTGCCACAGATCGAATATACCGGTATATGGAACAAGGCGTGTAAATTATTTGCCCAATCTAAGCGATGCAGATCAGATAGTTTCAACGAGTAGAATACAGGTAGAGCAACTAGATGAACAAAGAATTGGTAGGCACAAACTAAATGGAGGCCAAAAAGTTAAGAATCATGACCTGCCAGCACAACATACGCTCCGGTTTCTCTTAATACTTATTGTCACAAGCTGTCCCTTGTCAGAAGTTCGCCGGTTTCTCTTGTGAATGCTTGCTGTCACAAGCCTTCCTTGAAATGCAAAGCCACTCTGCTGTCGGAAGCTCTCCGGTTTCTCTTGCGGTTTGTTGTCACGTCAAAAGCTTTCCGGTTTCTCTCCTTGCTGCTTGCTGTCACAAGCTGACCCCCAAAACGCTGAACGAGTTTGCTGTCTTCGTTGATGTTTGCACTTATACCTTAGCTGCTGCAACCCAAGGGTTGATCCTGTAGCCAGTTCGGTTGACGACCCTGATCTTGCAGGTGCCCAGCAAACGCCGATCTCAGCTTCAAGACATCTCCCGAATGCTGGGCCCTCACTTGCTCAGCTCCGAGGGCCCTCTTTTTTTCTCACCTGGGGCCCGAATCCTCTATCCACCTCGCCGAGGCCGGGGCTCTACAACTTCCTTCTTCACTGGGCGCCTCGGGCAATCTCGTGTTCTTTCCGTTGAACCAACATGGCTCGGCGGTAGTTGCAAATTGAGACTTCGGAGCCCTGCTATGGCCGAGGTCCTCACGCTGCTAGTCATGTGGGGCTGCGCCCGCTTCGAGACCTGGCCACGAGCCGTGTGGTTCTCGGGGGAGACTCTCGTTGGCTGGATGCAGCGCGCAATCCACCGGGACAACCATGTGCGCAAGCATCGCTGGCCAAGCTAGCCAGAGCGTGCGTACCCGTCCACCTACTTACCTGACCACCACCTCGTACGTACTTAATTTCAACGCTACGCCGCCCGCCTCGGCTGTGTAGCGGCAGGGCGAGGGGGCAGTCGATGTTCTTTTATGCTAGGGCGGCCTGTCAAACCCCAAGCTTTACACAGTTGTTGATACGAAGTGCCAGGAAAACGGGCACAGGGGGAGGGAGGGGGGGAGTGGGGGGAGGGGGGGGGTGAAACCATAAACCTCTAAGGGGGTAGCCCTAACAGGTACCTACAGCAATGGCTGCATGCTCATACATATACATTCCGCTGCCCATTGGCTCACAGTGGTTTTACCATATTGAGACAATACAAGCTCTCCTTGCGTAGCAAGACAAAACAACTACTGTCCGTGTGCAGGGCGCTGCCCTTTGATCCTTAGGGAATAACTGGTCATACACCTCCTAACAAGGAGTATTCCTTGTGGGTGTATCGGCACAGTTTTCTGGTAGCGGAGCCCGGAAAGGGCCGCCCGCCTCACAAAGTCCGCTACAGCGGTCGGCCTCGCCGAACGCTTGACCAAGCGGATAAGAGGCAGCACAATGTCGAGCTCGCATAGCGAAGCCGACGGCAGTTCCCAATCCTCCGGGGGATATGAGAACGAAGAGACCTCCCAAGGTCCAGCCACTTATGTCGCACAGTCATTTGCAACATCTGACCGCATGCTTGCATCATTAGGCATAACGCCCAAGATCGCGCCTGCCTATGATGGCACCACTTCGTGGTTTGAGTATGAACAGTTGATTGACGACTGGTGCGACATAACAACGCTGGATGACACCAAAAGAGGTCCGTCTCTCAAGACGAGGCTCTCCGGATTGGCCGCAGTACAAAAAGAATCACTTAACCGAGAAAGGCTTGCAGCCCCAGATGGAGTAGATTACTTCAAGAAGAAGATGCGTCCATTTTTCGTGAAAGGAGAACAGTACGTTTTCCTGTGGCGTTTCCTCGGCCTATTCAAGGCATGGAAGGGCAACCAAGACTTTGTGACTTGGATTGCTAAGTTTGAGATCGTGCTACAGCGCGTGAAAAACTCATGGATGGATCTCTTACCAGAGATAGCTCTGGAAGATGCCCATCCAGATTTCATGCAAGCTGTGCAGGCAGACCGAACCTTCCTGGGCCTACAGGAAGCAGCCGAGAGAGACACATACGCCGCACGCTATTTCGAAACATGGAACAAGGAACGCCTTGACAATCATCGAAGAGCGTTTCCTCTGAATGATAATCTCCTAGCTCTCCTCTTCCTAGTGCAGTCCGACCTAAATGAGATGCAACGTGAGAGGTTGGTAACAGCATTGACCAACCAAGGTCACCGAATTGAGACCTACACGTACCCTGTGGTACGGCAGACATGTTCGATCAGTTCTCAACGACCAGAACTGGTCTGCAGGATCCCAACATTCGGCACTCTTCTCACAAGAAGGACCGCCATGGAAGGAGAGACCAACGCCGCAAACGCGGAGGTCGAAACTTCCTCATCCTCGATCAGGGTGAATACGATGGAGTCGATGGATTCTGGCTCCAAGACGAAGACACCCTTGAGGAAGGCTTTCTTGCCGCCGAGGATGAAGAAGCTGTCTTCTGGACAGTTGATGACCATGAGGCCTTCGTTGCAAGGAGATTCAAAAAGGGAAGAAGACCAAGAATGCGTCCCGGATCACCGGGAAGAGCAAAGGGTGGCAAGCGAAAAGGACGTGGCCGTTTTAGGTCATACCGCGGAAAAGGGAGAGCCAACCAGGCAGAACATGATCCAACTGATTCCAGCTATTTCGGTAAAGGTAAAGGAAAGGAAAAAGGGAAAGGTGGAAAAGGCAAAGGAAAAGGAAAGGACAAAGGAGATAAAGGAAGCTCCTTCAAAGGCGCAAAGGCAAAAGGCAAAGGTAAGGATACAGCTAAGTCTGCCTCCTTACAAGGAGACCAAACTGGATCTCCACAGGCCTATGAAAGTTCCACCGCACCGAGCTGGGATTCATGGTATGAGGACAGTTATTATACTGACTCCAGTTGGAATTATGCCGCTTATGACGATCAAACGTCTTATACATACTATGCATCACAAGCCTCACGAAGAAAAACACGGAGAAAGAAGAGAAGAAATCAAGCAGGATCATCAGGTAGAGGCACAGATCCGAGCGCGCACCAAGAACCCGTGTTCAACTCATCAGTGAGTTACGTGCCCCAGGTCTTTGAACCATCCGAGGGGCAAGGTGTGGAAACTGCAACAGCGGTGTTTCCGTTGCAGCACACCGTCCTATCTGCTCTCACAGAGCGGATCAATCTTGATAAGAACCCTACCTTTGTCATACTTGACTCAGGTTGTACTAGGGCTATGGGTTCCCGCTATGCGGTGAACAGGCTTATCAAGGCCGTGAAGCAACGTGCCCCAGGCATGATTGATTTCACTTTCTCACCTTCGAACACGAAGTTCTCTTTCGCAGATAGTGAAACAGCTCTTATCAAGGAGCGTGTAACTCTATGGTTCAACACAACTCCAAGAAGAGATACAACCATAGAAGTTCTGGATCAGGGGAGAGTTCCCATTTTGTTCTCCATCGAACAGATGAGAAATCTAAGAATGACCCTCGAGTGTAGTCCCACAGCTGACCTAGCAACGTGTGAAGCTTTCGGTTTGTACAAAACCCCCCTTCCGATTAGTACCAATAACCATTTGGTATTGGACCTTCTAGGCTTCACTTCCACCAGGAAGTATCTCCCTAAGTCAGGTACGTCGTTCAGTGCGACGGAGACTGCTCTAGGAGCCAAGAAGCCTTATACTAGGATACCGGAAGGTCGCTGTCCAGCCTGTGCCGGACAGAAAAGGGCTCACACGTACCTCAAGGGTTGCGACAAAGCACCTGAGGGAGCAGCTGATCCACCACCGAAGAGGATTTCAGGTAAAAAGAAGCCTCTTCCATCTGATCCGGCAGAATCATCTGCCAAGAAACTTGATCCACCAGAACCATCTGGTGATGCTCCTGAGCCTTCCGGACCATCGGAACCATCATCAGGCTCTAGGGACAAACCTGCAGAATCCTCTGCACCACATGAACCTCCAGAAGAAGAAAGACTTGAGGTCCCACCTGCGAAGATAAAGACTCCAAAGGGTCTTAAAAACCTTCTGAAGAAATCCCGCAAATATGCGGTTAAACCTCCTGTTGAAGAGAAGTCTAAGGTCCCAGGAGCTGATGACGGGACGGAGGTAAGACCACTTGAGTCAAGAGAATACCCGGCTCCTGGTACAGACTCACCTACAGGTGAAGAGATTGTCGCGGAACCATCGCCATCTCTTCCCATTGCTCTTCGCAGGATTCATGAGAAGCTTAAGGACCCTGTAGAACTCTATAAGCTTCACCTTAAGCACCGTCATATGAGTACGGATCAGTTCAAGCGACGCACAAAAGCCTTACAGATCCCAAAGGAGATATACGAGCTATATGACCAACTGGTCAAAAAGTGTTCAGCCTGCCAGGAACATGTGAGAGCTCCTTCAAGAGCGAAGATTTCTGGTTTAAGATCAGAGACTTTCGGTGATCTCACCTTCGTAGATCACGGTGAGCTTCCAATTCCCGGCAAGGATAGTCGCTTAGTATTTCTTATTCTCTATGATGGAGCAACAAACTTGTTGACTGCCGAAGTAGTCCAGGATAAAGAAGAACATACTACAATGTCGATTATGAATGACTACTTTGAGAAATTTCAGATCAACCCAAAGGTTGTAGTTGGAGATCAAGCATTTATGACTCCAAAAATGGAGGCTTATTACAATCGGCAGAATATCAAGCCTGTGGCAACAGGACCTGGAACACCATGGCCCAACAGGGCCGAAGCTGCTGTAAGATTGCTGAAGCATCAGATTAAGCTCATACTTCAGATTCTGAAGGATGGTGACCCGCAGTACAACGGAATCACCATGAAGTATGGCAACCTCGTTCGCCAAGCATGTTTGGCAAGAAACTCTTCGATTACCTACGGAGGAGTTACTCCTTTAGAAATGGCCTTTGGAAGGCGTCCTCGAGATGTTATAACACCAGAGAACGCTGATCCCAATCAGTTGACAGGTAATCCAACTGATACGGAAGTCACTGCGAGAGCCATTAAGGAGCTTGCCAACAGGGCTTACCAAGAGGCACGCCAATCTGATGATCTGCGTAGAGATCTTGCAGCCAGACTGTCAATGACCCAAGGACCTTTCTCTTTGGGAGATAAGGTTTTCTACTGGTCAGAAGATAAGTCTAAGATTGGATCCACTGGGTCCAAACATGGATCTTGGCTAAAAGGCAAGGTGATCTCCGAACTCGGAGGATCCATGGTAGGTGTGGATCTTGGAACACGCATCGTCCGCGTCAATATCTCAAAACTGAGGAAAAATTATGACATAACATCTGATGTGGAGATTCCTCTCGCGCCTGATGAGGAAACTCTGACGTCAGAAGGTTCTGACCACGCAAGTTGCATGGTCACCTTCGATGCTTCCCTGCAGTCGACAGACCTAACGGTTCCACATCAAGAGTGTCACTGGCAGGTCACCAGCACTGGGAAGATTGACTTCCTAGAACTCTACGGTGGATCTCCCCGCATGAGTCACAAAGCTGCCCTGTCAGGTCTGCGAGTAGGTCAGCCAGTCGACTTGCGTAGTGGTCTAGATCGTGAGCAACCGCAAGGTCGCTCCAATCTTCTTAGGATCATCAAGGAACAAGAACCTACTATTATTGTTATGTCACCCGATCACTCTCAGTGGTCTAGCTGGTACTCACAGTGGAAGAAAGGCTCTGCCAAGAGACTTTCTGTTTTAAAATTCTGTGAATCGGTCGCAGACCACCAAATGAAGCTCGGACGTGACTTTGTTCTTGAGAACCCATACTACAGCAGGCTCTGGTCTTCACCAGAAGCAAAACGCCTGTTTTCCAACCGCAAGATCAGCTATGAGGTCTGTAACCTACAAGCCTATGGCATGAAAGA